AGCAAGCACAAAGCTAAATCCGCTGTATGCGTCCAATAGAAGTGCGGTCCATTTTACGCTGCATTGAAGTTTTTGATTGACGAATCAGAAGAAAGAATTTTACTAATTGTAAACCGTAGCCTAGGAATTGTGATAAGAGCATGTGACTTGATAAACTTATAGGGATTTCTCGATTGACGTAGGTTGAACTGATAGCAACATTCGCTTGGCAACAGTTGGCACTACTGTTTTCGGAATGATTTAAATTGCCTCAGTTATCCGCCGGGAGACTTGCAAAACGAAGGGATTATGCAGTCTTTCGGCGATGACACTTTACTTGCTTGCATAAACGTTGAAAAGAAGCATCAAATTTTACAAAAGCAAACTGAAGGTAAAATTCAAGAATTGCAGGAAGAAAATGTTAGTGATCTTGGTAAATATTTCAAGTCGAACTCACTGCTGTCGGAATTCGCGAACACACAGAACAATGTGGATAAATTAAAGTCGTCTGATTCTGAAACAAAAAAGATAGAAGAAAAGAAGATGTCTGTGAAGTATTTTGAGGATAGTATTTTATTTCCCGAAGCCAACAGCAGAAGGAATTTATCCCCGGCCTTCAGTGCTCAAAAAGGAAACAGCTTACCGTCCCAAAAAAAACGGAGTCCTCATAGAACAAACAACAAGAATGTTGATACCAATTTGAAGGAGAAACATCGCCTTGATATAACTAACAGTACAAAGAAATGCGAAAAATTTAGTACTCAGGGTCTTTATAAAAATAAGTCTTCTAATAACATACAAAATGCAATAAGTAGTAGTGATGTCATCAGATTATCAGCTGTTAATTCTACATATAATGAAGAAAATTCAGAATTTGTTATTTCATCTCCACCTATTGGCACTCAGGATCGTTGTAAATTGGCATCGTGGGGTTTACCGCCATATATTCTACAAGTATGTATATATACATAAAGTAACAAATATTTATATATACATAAAATATACTATAAGATGTATATTCTTTATTTTATCTTTTCTTAAATTTTAGAAATCATATCCTTGTAATATATTGTTGATATAGCTATTTATTAATTTTAAATTCTTTATTAAATACTTATTTATCAGAGTCAAAACATAGAATTAAAAATTATATGATAAATTAAGATTTGCTATTTATATATATCTTTGTAGTTCTAATTGCGCTACAATTTTTTAATTTTTGATATTTTTTTTTTATATAAAGAAACTACTATTATTTGTAATTTTTTTATAATTATATGTATTATATTTATAGAAATGTACTTTTAATAGTCTTTTATGTATGATGTAAGCAACACACACAAGTATTCTTATATTTATATATGATATGGAATTGATTCAAATGATTTTGGAGGCTAATTACTATTATTTTTTTAGAAATATATTGCTCGTGGAGTAGAAGAAATGTTTACATGGCAAATGGAATGTTTGTCAAATCATCTAGTAATGCAAGAGAGCAAGAATCTTGTGTATTCCGCACCTACCTCTGCAGGAAAAACTTTTGTCGCTGAAATGCTATTAATTAAAACTGTTCTAGAAAAAAAGAAGAAAGTAATCTTTATCCTGCCATTTGTGTCTGTTGTTAGAGAAAAGATGTATTATTTTCAGGTAAGATATATTGAAATTAAATTATTGTGCATACTTCTTAAATCACAATTTATAGACATTATTAAAATAATAATATTTTTTTTATAAGCAATTGATAAATTTGATATTCAGGATTTACTGTCTGACATTGGAATAAAAGTGCATGGATTTATGGGAGGGAGTGTTCCACCTGGAGGATTTGCCACTACTGACGTTGCAGTAGCTACTATAGAGAAGGCGAATTCTTTGGTGAATCGTTTAATGGAAGAGAACGATTTGAGTAGCTTAGGAGCTGTGATAATAGATGAATTGCACCTACTTGGTGATCCTAATCGTGGCTACCTCTTAGAATTGCTTTTGACAAAGTTGAAATACATGACTATTCAGTAAGTATTCGCTAATGTAATTGAATTGCAATTTGCAACATAACTGAAAGTTTATAATTTAATGTTTTAGCAATAATGATGTCAATATACAACTGATAGGTATGTCGGCCACACTGCCAAACTTAACTCTGTTAGCCAAATGGTTAAATGCAGAACTATACAAGACTGAATTTCGGCCCATACCTTTAAATGAATATTGCAAGGTAAAAATACAAAATTTGAAAATTATTTGTATTTTTATATTTTTTAGATTTGATTGTGATCAGATATATATATATTTTAGAGAGATTTGATATTGTATTATTCAAAATAAACTCTACTTATAGATAGGAGCAAATATATATGACAACAAATTGACTCTTGTCAGAAAATTAATAGAATCACAAGAATTAGGAACAGATGTAGATAATATTCTACAGCTTTGTATTGAGACAATAAGCGCCGGTCATAGTGTGTTGATTTTCTGCCCCACAAAGAAATGGTGTGAGAAATTAGCAGAACAAATTGCTACAGCTTTCTTCAAGCTAGGTCTGCTTCAATTATCTTCAGATTAAATTTGAACAAATATAGATTTATTCTTACTAGCATTTCCCTATATTTTTCTATGATTTTATTTCTCATGCTTTTTATTATAAATTACAATAATTATTATATTTGTTTTATTTTAAACACAATAAATATAAGATGCAATTAAAAAAGATCTTTATTTCTTAAATTTATCTTAATCTATTGTTAGGTTGTGGAGATACAAAGTTTGGTGAGATGTTAAAGAAAGAAATAGATTCCACATTGATCCAAGAAACTTTAGAACAATTAAAACGCAGTCCAAGTGGTTTAGACAATATTTTAAAGAACACGATTTCATTCGGCACTGCGTTTCATCATGCTGGTCTCACGATGGACGAGCGTGATATTATAGAAGGATCTTTCAGGTGATAATCATGTTTTTATTTAATTTTCTTTTATTTTATGTATTTTTAAACTTAACATTGTTCTAGAACGGGATCCTTGAGGGTTCTTATAGCAACATCAACATTAAGTAGTGGAGTAAACTTACCCGCACGAAGAGTAATCATAAGATCACCTTTATTTGGTGGCAGTCCGTTAAATACTTTAACTTACAAACAAATGATAGGACGTGCTGGTCGCATGGGGAAAGATAGTGCAGGTGAGAAACATTGAAACGTATGATGAATATATGACATAATGTAGTCATCATCTTGATCTCTTGTATCACATTGAGAGATGTCTTTCAATGTCTAAGATTCGCTTTAACTAAATATAAAAATTTCTCGTATTTAGATTTATTCTTATTGGTCTAAATTCGGATCATATTGTTAGATTTCTTTTAGTCTTTCTGTGAAAAATATGAAAGAAATAATACTTGAAAATAATAAAAATTATAAGTATATTAATTAATAAGTAATTATAATTATTTTGATTGCCTGTAAGCTAAATTAAGATTAAAAAGTTATATAAAACATTATTATTCATTAACATTATAAATACAATGTTAATGAATTTATATGTTTAGGAGAAAGTATATTAATATGTAAACCGAACGAACGTAATGCAGCTGCATCATTGCTCTCTGCTGCTCTGGATCCAATTGAATCTTGTCTCAATGATTCCACGTTATTAATAAGGGCGCTCTTAGAAGCGGTAGCTAGTGAAGTTCTATACACGTACACAGATTTACAGCTGTATATTAACTGTACTTTGTTAAGCTTGAATGAACAATCTGATGTGCAAACATTTTCTAATGAAGCGATAAAATTTTTATTAGATAATGAATTTTTATTGTAAGTATAATTGAACTATTATATTTAACTTCATAGAATTAAATAATTGCTTGACAATTTTCTTAAAACATTAAAATTAATTTATATATGTATAATTTTACTATTTGCACAGATTACAAACTACAGAGCGAGAATCTAGGTGGGTGGCAACGCCGCTTGGAAAAGCATGTTTGGCCGCGTCTATACCTCCTAGAGAAGGGTTGTTTCTATTTGAAGAATTACAGAAAGCACGAAGATGCTTTGTTTTGGACACTGAATTGCATGTGATTTATTTGGTTACTCCACTCTCGTCCGGATGTCAAATTGGAACGGTCGATTGGATGACGTTTCATGAATTGTGGAACATCATGTCTGAAAGCGAGCGCAGAGTTGGAAAGCTCGTCGGAGTAGAAGAGCGTTTTGTATTATCAGCTGTTAGAGGAATTGTTAAATCTGGGAAATCGGTAATTGAACGTTTGTTTAAATACGGAAAACATGAAGTATTAGAATTTATATTCATAGAATAGAATATATGTTCATATTAGAAGAATTGTTAATGTGAATATTTCGTATCACAGTTGAGTATACATAGAAGATTCTATAGCGCACTGGCATTACATGATTTGGTTAAAGAAGTGCCACTTCATGCAGTTTGTAAAAAATATGGATGTTGTCGCGGAGTATTGCAAACCTTACAACAATCTGCTGCCACATACGCAGGTAAAGCGGCAAAGAATTAATAATGATAAATTTATTATTCTGGCAAATTTTCTATAACATCAATCTTATCTTAGGTATGGTCACACAATTTTGCAAGCAATTAGGTTGGGATTGCATGGAATTATTGGTGAGCCAATTTCAAACGAGATTGCAATTCGGCGTCTGCAGAGAATTGTTAGATTTGCTGCGATTGCCAATGTTAAATGGCTTGCGAGCAAGAAGCTTATATAAACAAGGAATAGAAACCGTAGCAGACTTAGCTATTGCTAATGAGCTTAACGTTGAACGCGCGCTTTACAATGCACTCCCTTTTGAAAGGTACGAATTTTATCAATTCGTACCTTTGATATGTAAATTATCTTTTTGGATTATATATAAATATAATATAAATTTGGATGTATAGATGTGTAATTATATATATTTAAGAAAAAATAAATATTTTTATTTTGCATGTAGAAATGCGCATGTAATGTACTGGATTTTTAGGATTATGTACACACATTTAGCATTAAATGTAGCATATGAATGTAAACTATACACTTTGATTGATGTTCAAATAATTTTTACGTACATTTTAGCGAGAAAGAATGTGAAGGAGAGTATGCATTTGATGTGGAAAAGAGAAATAAAATGAGAACAGTATTCGTCACTGGAAGAGATGGTCTTACACCTCAACAAGCTGCAATTTTATTGGTTCAAGAGGCACGGATGTTAATTCAGGTTGATATAATTCATAAATTTTATAAATAAAATACAGGCCTCTCTCTCTCTCTCTCTCTTAATTATTGTTAATTTTGTATTCTAAATTCATTGCTTAATTATTACTATTTATACTTTTTGTATTTACTCTTACGTTAAATTATTGTTTTTTTTTATTTATTCTTATGCTTGATTATTGTTATTTTACTTTTTGTATTCACTCACACATATTCACTTTCACACAATAACTTACGTAATACTTAAACTCACTCAGTACACACATTACTAATTTTGCTTCTCTCTAAAAAATGTTCTTCTGCAAAATATTTATTGTGTAGATTTTTATGAAAGTTGAGCGCTTAAGGAGACTTCGTCCCAGAGCGATAAATCTCTCTCTCTCTCTCTCTCTCTCTCTCTCTCACTCATATTTATTGAAATAAAACATTGGTTATTTATAGAACGAATTGGGGCTGGAACAGATGCCATGGGAACAAAATGAACAATCTCTACAAGTAAATACATGTGTCAAAAATATTGAAGATACATCTGACATAAAAGAAAAAATTCAGAGTTTGGATGTAAAGAACTCTCCGAAAATGAGAACATCCATTATAGAAAATTCATTACATGTAAAATCGCCCATGAGTAACGAAAATCAAAAGGAAAATAATCCCAAACTTGACATACGTAAAGAAAATGAAACCAATGTGTCCGACAAGAACGAAGTAATTGAATCGAACAGTCAACATTTATGTGAAGCTAATTTGTTACCTAAAATCTTAGAAGACGATAGAAATTCATCTTTTCTCGACTTAAGTAGTCTCGACATAATAGCAAACGATGAATTAGATATTCCTACAGAAAAAATAATTTTTTCCGCGACTGATAGCAGCACTAAAATAAAGAGAAGTAGCAAAAATTCAGAACAACTCAACTTTATTACTAATGATATACCCAACAAAAAGTTAAAAATTTCCAGCATAAATGAGAAAAATAACGATGAAAATTTGATAAACAAAGACAAAAATACATTTATTATAAGCAAGGATGTTAAACCATCTTATTCAAGGAGTCCCAGTCTATTCGATGATAGTTTGAATCTTGACACCCAAATGTGCGATATTCTTGAGCAAAATGTCATGGATATCACGCATTTGACGGGATTAAATTCTAAAGCATTCGTGAGTGAATTGGACGCCACGAATGCACTGCAAAAAGAATCTACAAGTTCAAATACTGGCAATGTGCAATTGTGTGACAAAAATAATGTGAAAAGTATAGGTACAGCTAATTTACAATCCAAAAACAGTATATTGTCGTGGGGTGATGATTCGTGGATTAATTGTGAAGGATTGCTGAAACAGATAGCTCAAGATCAAAATGTAATTCAATCCAAGAAGGACATATCTAATTCCAAAATTAAAAATATTGTAAATACAAATATATCTCTTGCATTAAAAAATACGAAAACTTGCACACAAAGCAATAAGGAAAGTACGATTAAAATGGATATTAAAAAACGTACTGCCGCACTTAAGGAGAAAGCGCCACGAAAATCTAAACTGTCAAGAAAAGCGGAGATAGATTCTCCTGTGGCAAATATAATCGTTTTCAAAAAGGAACGAAAGACGTCCGCAGATTCAAATAAATCTGATTCAGATGACTTTATCGTTGGTTCGCAGCATTTCGAATCTCCTTTCAGTAGTAATAAAAGCCGTACAAAAACGACGTTAGAAAAAATACGTAAGCTGCGTTCTCAGAAACTTGCTCAGGAGGATACATTAACGGAAATGAATAATTGTTTAATAAATTCTCCTATAAAAGAAACATCAAATGACAAGGTAGATAAAATAAAAGAAGAAGAACGGGAAATGACGTCAAAATTGAAAGAAATTCCAGCACAAAATCCATCTGCGAGTATCGACAGTGTTATATATAATTCCGAAGATGAGATAGCGAATAATTTGACGAGATCAACTCTTAAGACGAAGCAATATGAGATACAATCAAATAATTTAGATAAAAATGTAAAATTAAAGATAGAAAATGTATTACCTGATAAGAAAAAGAATTTGTTGAACGAAACGATAGAGTGGAATACATTGAATATTGTGAAAGTTGCGAACAATAGAGCGACTTTTAATCTATTCAAACGCGAAATATTAAAGAAGCGAAATATCGCGTTAGCCTTACATTGTGACTTACATATAGATGATACGACTAATATAGGTTCGAAGATTTGTGCTTCCAATGCAGAAGGAAAACGAAAATCCAGAAGGTCTGGGAATTATTCGCATGGAAATAAAGAAATTCGCGGTGTTGCAATATCCTGGGAGAGCAATATTGCATATTATATCTCCTTCAGTAATTCACAAGGTAACAGATATGTCAGTAAATTATCTATTACTTAAATTTTAATATAAATATTACAATTGTTCTACAGAATCAAAAGTCTCTGGAAAGGAACAAATGGCTCTATTAAAAGATCTACTTTATGATACAACTTTATACATGAAATGTTTCGCGATAAAAGATATATACAAACTTCTGTATCAATGTTGTGGAATCACCGCCAAATGTAGATTTCTTGATCCTGTAATTGGACATTGGTTATATACTAATGATTCCGAAAGAAATTTCAATGAAATGGTAAGATTTCAATTACACCTTATTGTGCGAAATTTAAGGATTAAGCTTAGCAATATGAATATATTATTAAACAAATGTCAACTTAAAAAAGATTATCAATGCTGTATGAATTATTATTGTGTGAATTAAAATTGCATCAATATATTCATCAAATTCTAAATAGGTACTGCAATATTTTCAACAAGGAAATGTTATAATGAAACGTATAAAATCTTGTTACTGTTCCGGTCCTGGAATGGATGTGCAAAATTCTTTACCAGGCGAATTTAGATCAGCAGCAGAAGCTGTGCTTACATGGCATATGATGGATAATATTATGAATAAATTAGAAGAACTTAATCCTACTCTACTTTATACATTTAGAGGTATAATAGAGATGTCTCTATATATAAATATATATTATCCCTATTTTATAATATCTATTATAATGTATAATGTCCATTTTCAGAAGTAGAAATGAGAATTATGACAACTTTAGCTTGTATGGAATTGTCAGGCATTGGCGTGAATCTAAAATCTTTGCAAGAGTTATCATCAGTTGTGTCAAATGAAATGCAATCTTTAGAAACAAAAGCTTATAATTTAGCAGGTAGAAAATTTAATTTTTCATCATCCAAAGAAGTCGGTCAGGTTCGTAAAGTAAAACTTTTATATATATTATATATTTTGTGTGCGCGCGCGCGCGCGCGTGTGTGTGTGTGTGTGTGTGTGTACATACATACGTACATACATATATTGTATATATACAGAGTAAGACAGAAGTATCGAAACTGCTGAATATCTTTCGGAAAATATATGTTTTACAGAAAAGTGTTTCAGACAAAAGTTGTAGAGTTAAAAAGAAATTTTTATTAATTTTATCAGTTTGACCTTGGATGGTGTCGTCAAAGTCAGATCAAGATCGAATCTATTTTTTTAAATGGAAACCCCCAAGAATTTGCAAATTCTTGTAGTTTATCTTGAGCGCTTTCCAAAATATTTTAACAAAATATTTTTCCATTAACTACTTTTTGAGTTATAAAGTTTGAAAGTTACAGTACCGCCGGCATTAGTATTATTCAACTGGTGATGGTAAATGTTATTAAGGATCATAATCTTGATATTGTATGTCAAGGCGTTTGAAAGTTGTTCCTTTTATTTTCATTTTTAATGTAAAAAATATTTTGTTATAGTATTTTGAAAAACTATTGAGATAAATACAAAAACGTAAGTGTAATAAGAAAGATGAGGAGTTTCCATTAAAAAAAAATCAATGCGACCTTAACCTGACGCCATCCAAAGTCAAATTGATAAGGTCAGTAAAAAGATCTTTTTATATAACATATTATACATTTTTATATAATTTTAATATCTATGTAACACATACATTATATAACATATACGTGTCACAGGTATTAGGATTATATAAAGATAAAAAAGTCAGTACAAGCAAAACTGTTTTGGAAAAATGTGATAATCCAATATCGACCTTGGTGATTTCCTGGCGAAAATTAAATGCAACAAGAACAAAAGTAATTATGTGATAAGTACTTATTTATTTGATTTTTCTAATATGCATGTATTTGATTTTATATATTGCTACATTATAATAAATACTTTTTTCTTATCTATTATATTTTTTCTAATGCAAGGATTTTTTTTGTATTTCTTGATTAATGCTTTTCTACTTAAAAAGATATAATAGAAAATATTATAAAAA